GAGCGTGTCCCAGCTCAGCTTATAAGACACCAGTTGCCAGAGGTCTGAGCCTTGAGCCTCCCTCTTGCCTGGCCCACTCCGCTCTACACTGGGGAGTGCTCCTCCCACCTTCACCTTCAGCAACCCTGCGCTTGGCCTGTTACTTGTGCTCAATTCTTTGTTTGGGACAGCAAGGACCTGGCCCCTGGTGATAGCAGCTGTGCCATCTCACAGTCCCACGAAGCATGACGAAGCTCGGAGTTTCCCGTTTCTCCAACACTTTTTCTTTTTAAAGAGTGGTCAGCCAAATGGGTACGGGATGACCTCTCATTGCGGCTTTGATTTGCATTTTCCTGGCAATTAAGTTGCTGAGCACCTTTTCATCTGCTTGATGGTCACTTGCACATTTTTATTGGAGAAGTGTCTGTTTAGTTCTTTTGCCCATTTTTCACTGAGGGATTGTCGTGCTGTAGGAATCCTGTATACAAAGGTTCCCAACCCTGTGTCAGGTGAGCGATCAGCAAAGGTTTTGGCCATTCCGTGCTTTGCCCTTTCCCTCTGTTGTCTCCTTTGTCCTGAAGAGGCTTTTGAGGTTGATGTAGCCCCATCTGTACATTTTATTTAGTTTATATTTTTTTCCTGTGTCTTGATTCCACATCCAAAAAGTCAGTGTCCGTTCTAACGTCATGAAGATTTTCTGCTTTCTTCTGCTTTTAGGTTTGTTTAGTTTCGGCTCTTAGATTCAGGTCTGTGATTCACTCTGAGTACTTTTGCATATGGTATAGGATAGAGTCCACCTTGATTCTTCAGCATGTGGATAGAAGATCCTTTGGTCATAAATGTGGGGTTGTTTCTGGGCTCTCTCTTTTATGGCACTACTCTATATGTCAGTCTTTATGACACTTCCAGACTGTTTTATTCCTGTAACTTTGGAGTATGTTTTTGTTTGTTTGTTTGCGGTACTGAGGATCCAATCCCAGGGGCTCCCTACCACAGAGTTACATTCTAGCCCTTTTTAAAAGTAAGACACAGTTTTACTAGGTTGTCCTCAAACTCAGAATCCTCCTATGTTAACTCCCCCCCCCTCCACAAGAAGCTGGGATTGCAGGTGTGCACCACCACACCTGACTGTATTTTTTGACGGGTTTGGGGTGGGGTACTGGGGATTGAACCCAAGGGTAACCACTGAGCCACATCACTGGCCTTTTTGTTTATTTATCTATTTATTATTTTGAAGCAAGATCTTGCTAAGTTGCTAAGGCTTTGAACTCTCAATCCTCCTGCCTTAGCCTCCCAAGCTGCTGGGATTACAGGCGTGCACCACCACACCAGGCTTGTTTTCCTTTCTGCAAAAAAAGTCATTGGGATTTTGATAGGGATTTCATGGAGTCTGTTCTGGGTAGGTTAGACACTAATACTAAGTTCCCGGCTTATGAATACGGGTATCTTTCCATGGATTTGTGTCTTCCTTAATTTCTTTCTGCAAATTTTGATAGTTTTCATTTCATATCTGTAGCCTCCTTACTCTAGTTGCTTTAAAAGTGCTTTATTCTTTTTTTTCTTTTTCTTTTGTACCAGGGATGGAACCCAGAGGTGCTTAACCACCGAGCCATATCCCCAACCCTTTATATTTTATTTTGAGTCAGGTTCTTGTTAAGTTGCATAGCACTTTGCTAAGTTGCTGAGGCTGGCTTTAAACTTGGGAATCATCTGTCCTCAGCCTTCCAAGCTGCTAGGATTATAGGTGTATGCCACAGCACTCAGCTGAAAGGTGCTTTATTTTATTCTTAATTTTTTTTTTTTAGTTGTTGATAGACCTTTATTTTATTTATTTTTATGTGGTGCTGAAGATGAAACCCAGTGTTTTACACTGCTAGGCAAGCACTCTACCCGAGCCCCAGCCCCAGCCCGAAAGGTGCTTAATTCTTTCTGATGCTGTTATAAATGAGACTTTTCTTAATTTCCTTTTTTGGATTGCTCATTTTTTGTGCATGGAAGCCCAATTGATGTTTGAGTGTACTTTTGTACTCTGCAATTGTGCTGAATTCATTTAACACTGGCATTGTGAAGACACTTTAGGATTTCCTACATTTAAGGTCCTTTCCTGTGCTGCAGGCTTTCTTTCTTCCTTCCTGGTCTGAATGCTGTTTGCTTCTTTTTCTTGCAGAGGGGTGGTGAGAATGGGCATCTGGCTTGGTTCCTGACCTAGCACAAGCAGCTTTTAGGTTTCCGTCCCGAGCGAGGCGTCAGCAGTCACACACAGCCTCTTGATGGTCAGGCACTTGGCCTTTCTTCCTAGTGTGCATGTGTCTCACTGTGGAAGGCCTTTGAACATCCTCAAATGCTGCTTTTCAATGGGGGCCATAATTGCGGGCTTTGTCTTTCTGTGAATGTGGCCAACTACATTTGTTAATTTTCCACATCAAACCATCCTTGGTTACCAAGGATGATCCCACTAGGTGATATGATAGAATCCTTTTAGTGCTTGGGTAAATTTAATTTGCTAATATTTTGTTGAGAATTTTTGCATCGATATTTATCAAAGATATTGATTGGCCTGCAGTTTTTTAAAAGTATATATATATATATATAATTAAATGCCTAAATGTACTATAGGGTCACAACTTAGTTTGTTATTATAGTCTTTATGGAATTTGGCTGTGATCAGGATTTTCAGAGCATATGGTACAGTACTCCATCAACTGAATAATATACTGAATGATATGCAGAAGAGCTCATAGAAAGGAACTGACCTAATGGGTTTATCATGAAGCAAATGTGGCAAATCTCTCTGAATAAAATGCCAATTCAGGCAAAATGGTGCTTAGAAAACAGACATTACAATATTTTACACAAAAAACACCTATAAATAGATTGTTAATATGAGGAAGGTTTCTAAAAAATTCTAGGTGAATCCTCATTTTCAAAACTATGTATTTTGAAAACTACTTTATTCAAGTAATTTCTTCAAGAAAGTATGCATGTTCTGTCTGTGGAATTAGCCTACTGGTCAATTAAAGGCAACTTTATTTACTGTTTAAGAATAGAAAGGAGAGACGATGCATGCGTTTCTCAAATAAACAGCATTATGTAAGTCCATTACAAAAAACAACAGCCAGGCGCAGTGGTGCACAGCTATATTCCCAGCAGCCAGGAGGCTGAGACAGGGGGATTGTGAATTCAAAACCAGCCTCAGCAAAAGCAAGGCCCTAAGCAACTCAGTGAGACACTTAGAGAGTGTAGGTAAAAATGAATACAAACTAGAGCTGGGGGTGTGGCTCAGCAGGCAAGTGCCCCTCATACCAACAACAACAACAAAACAGAATCAAAGGAAGACCTACAATGTCTATGCCAAGCAGGAATCTGCCCGCTGCCCCCACACCAATTCAAAACAGTGCAGCTTTCCATGAATGCCCCAACTGAGGTTGAGACATACAGCCGTCCTGCAAGCAGCACTTTGGAAAAGCCAGAATGCTGGACTCAGTCCATTCCTCAATGAGGGAGAAGCCACAGATTGGGAGAGGTTCCCTACAGGCGTCTCTGTACTGCAAGCCCTGGGGCCTCAGCAAGCTACCCTGTGTCAGGGGCTCCCAGGCAACCAAACTAGGCTGCGTCCATCAATGAATCAGAGCCAGGAGAGCCAGAAAGCAGTCCCTGGAGCAGCCCTCTGAAGAGCTGGAATCAGACAAGTCCCATACCTCTCTACCCTGGCCCTCCTGGAGGCTACAACCCAGGTGCTATTCTAGCCATGCTGAGCTGTCAGCCTGGGCCAGGGGTGGTCACAGGACCCTTCCTACCTATTCTACTGCAGCTGTTCTTGGTTTTGCACCCACTTGGGGGTACCACAACTTGACTGGTGTTTATTTTTTTATTTTTATTTTTTTAATATTTATTTTTAGTTCTCGGCGGACATCTTTGTTGGTATGTGGTGTTGAGGATCGAACCCAGGCCGCACGCATGCCAGGCGAGCGCGCTACCGCTTGAGCCACATCCCTAGCCCCTTGACTGGTGAGAGCTAGAATTTGAATCCTGGCATTCTGTCCTTGTTCCCATTATTTAAAATGGATTCATTTTTATAAAATAGAGATGATTATATCTTCCTCAAGAATTGTTGTAGGAACTGATTCAGAAAAATGGTAGACAGTGCTTAGGCATAACAATCACTCAAGAAAAAAGCAGCAGTAAGTTTTTCCATTTAACCATTTCTTTTAACCATTCCATTCTCTTCTAGTTACATACTTTCAAATTTGCATCTCTCTAGGATATCTAGGGCTGTTTCTTCTTGTTCTGTCATTTTGTCACATCCAATATTTTAACCAAAAAGGAAAGAGAACAGGCTATGGAATCCAAGATGATTTATGTGTCAAAAGGTACATTTCCTGAGCACTGTGGAGTAGGGTGTACTCTTCAATACTCCAAGCCCTTGGTTTGCACCGCAGGTCAAGGCACAGAAATGACACAGCTGTGGTGTCTGTCTCAACCTAGTTGAGGCTGACATGCTTGGATGCCTGAGCTGCGGGACAAAGCAGGCAACTTGCTGCTGCAGCCCCCGTGAGCCCACAATACTGCAAACAGACACCAGAGGGAGCCAGAGACTACGCTCTGCACACCACTGGCTGGGAATTAATAGCTGCTCAAGACCCTGTGTAAACAGCGGCTGGTATGTACTAGGCAAGGGGAACAATTTTTATTTCTTTTATAGTAAAATATCTTTGAGATGGAGAAATTATCCTGTGTTACTGGGGTAGGTCTACTAGAATCATTAAGACTTCTGATGTGAAAGAGGGAGAAAGACCTGAGCTGCTAAGCTGCTGGCTTTGAATTTGATGGAAGGAGCCATGAACCAAAGACTGTGGCACCCTCCTGAAGGTGGGCAGGGGCTCTCCCCAGGGCCTCTGGAAGGAAAAGCCAGCCATCACCTGGGTTAACTGTGTCATTTCATGTCACTAGGTTAGTGAATTAGCACAACAGAAATAGTGAATGAATACAGTCTGTTAAAAAAAAATATGTTTCAGACAGAATCAGTCCAGAAATAAAATTTTACTATATGAAATTTACATTTGTTACATGTGATGAAAAGTACAGCCAAAGATCTTTTGCTCATCCTTTTTCTAACGTACCCTTGCAAAGTCACATTCTTTATACAGATTATTTAACAGCTGTTAAATAACAGTTGTGCTGGCATAAGTGTATAAATAAGGTATAAAACAAGAAACAGATCAAAACAGTGCAGGGGGAAGACCACTGCCAAAGAGTAACCTCCAAGAACTTGGAATTTTCCACGGCAAGGCAGATGTTGCAGGGTTAACACTCTGTAATTGAAGAACAAAATACTTTAGTCTTTCAATTTTACCATCAAATCTCCCTTTCAGTTTCTCTTTTACATGGTTCTCATTGTTAGAAAAAATAAAGCAATAAGTTTCTATACCTTTTTAAAAATACAGATAAATTCCTTCAAGTTCCAAATCTTAAAGATATGTTAGAAAGGCTGCAGATAGTCTACTACTTGGAATGAAATTCACAAAGATCAAGGGTTTGTGAATTTCTGAACAGAAATAATTGCATCATTTTTCTTCTTGGCAAAAAGCAAGAATAAAAAGTATAAAGCAGGCTAATGGCTGCCCCTTCCCTGGGCTGTCATGCTCATATTTCAAGATACAGAAAGTTCTTCATTTTGACGTGCAATCGCTACAGGAAGCACTGCTCACAGGGCAACACTTTCCGGAAACTTCTCTGAAACAATCCTGAATTCCACAGAAGACCTTCCTAGATGGATGTGTCTGACTAATTAATATAACAAGAATAATGAGTTCAATATAGAATCTGGGGCTTTCCTTTCTGGAAAATGAAGCAACTATAAATAGATTGGTTAACTATCTTACTTTCAAAAGTTCAGCTTAAACTTAATTTTATATAGAGATATGTCTATATTTAATATAAATTTTTACTTATTTGACCTACTTACATAGAATATAAAATGCAAGTTAATGAATACAGAGCAGACAAGTCAGAGGTTGCTGGTGTAGTAAGACTTACACATGGTTTGATTATCTGAAGCCATTCATTAAGATACTCCACAAGACCTAGTGCATCTGGGATATTGTCTCCCTCTGAAACAAATTTCAGCAGAACCACCATTTGGATTTCTTTAGAACAGCTACAAGAAATAAAAAGAATAATTCAGTATTCTTCTACTTGTAGATAATTCTAGTGTGTTAGCATTACAGGCAAGATAACCTGCCAGGTTTTAGACAAGGAAAAGATACCATACCATAAAATCATAGTCTCCCAGGGGCCCATATATACTCTTGTAGGTGTGGGGCAGGAACAGGAGCCTAGAACAACCAGCCAGGGAATGTAGAGATTGTGCCTTGCCCCAAAGCTGCACGGACATCTGTCCTTGCACAGCCCAGCTGTGCTTGGCAATAACATGTGAGCTCTGTTCTGAACTACTCCCCAGACCTACTTGGGAAGACAGTGACTTTCAGAAGGACCACAGAAAAGAGACTGAAAGAAAAACCACAAAACAACACCTTTGTTCTTGGTAATCTAACTCAGTGAAGGCAAACTTGGAGAGTGGAAAGGCTCGAGAGAGGAAAACTCCCTGCTACTTCTCAGAGACAGCACCTACTGGGTGTCTGTTCCAACAGGCACTTTCTGTAGTTTATGATTCAACACTTTCTTGAGGAAGCTGTAATCATTTCCATTTTCTAAATGAATCAGTTTAAAATTAGAGGGAACAAGGACAGAATGCCAGGATCTGATTTTTTTTTTCTCCACTGACCAGATACATGGGTCAAATTATTTCATTTCCTTCATCTATGAAAGGACATCAGAACCCAACTTACAGGCTGCTGTGAGGTTTAAAGGAAGTAATGGAGGCAATGTGCTTAAAGGTGACATACAGATTATAGTATGCAAGTGTCAGTAGCTAACATGAGGCAAGAGGTTCAGAGAGACAGAAAGTGTAGTTAACCTGCTCTGCGTTTTTCCATCTGGCAAGTGGCAGAGGAGGGGACCTGAGGCTAGTCTTCCTGACTCCCAAATAGCCTCCCTACTATCATGGTAAGTGCCCCCAGCCAGGGGTGACATGGCAGAACACCAAGGCAAAGCTTCCAGTTCACCAACAAAAGCACCCTAAAACTAAGAACTAGGAGAAAAATGTAATGTTGAAAGTTGAGAGTGCGTGACTGACAGCCACAGAGAGTGGGGTCCTAAGCAGGGTTCTAAGACAGGAGACTCTGAGAGTTCAGAAGTCAGGGGATGGCACCAGGAGAGTTTACCACAGCACCTCAGGCTTCCGAGAGCTAAAGGCAGAAGTCGTCAGCACTACTCACACCACTCCACCCTGCAGTTCTCAAGCCCCTTAGAAACTTTCCATCTTTATAGGGAATACTGTGGATTTTGATACTCAGAAAATTCTAGCTGCTAAGTGCTTCTGCTCCAGTGGCCTCAGCAAAGGCTGCCTAGAGAAGGCTAGCCTCCCTGATTGTGCTGCAAGCATTCCAGCTCGTACAGAGCTTCTGCCAGGGCAGCACAACAGCTTTAATATCACCACACGATCCTCTGCTGACAGAGGAAGATGGGAGAGGGCTATTTCTGTTACGCTCTAAGACATTAAAACCTAGCATAAGATATACCCAATTATTAAAGTACAAGTGTACTTCTACTGATTAAATGTGTGATCTCCGATCAGCCACACCGTTACCACCATGTTATCGAATAACCAATATTATCTTTTGCAGAGATGGGAATAAATATTTGTTCTGTTAAGGAAAAACAAAATAGGTATATTGTAAATAAACTGGAAAATACTCAAGATAATCACTGAAGGAGAAAAAAGGACTCAAAATCGTATACCATATGATCTCATGCACTTTTTTCAATTTCAAAAATTCTTTTACCACAATTAATGCTTAATTGTACTGAACATGGTTTGGTAATGAATGAATAAAAAATTTGTTAAAAAACTAAAACTGTGAAAATTCTTCGAATAGGATGAACTCTAACCAGTGTTAAAAATGTCAGAAATGTATTATCTCACATATACATACATTTGATTAACTATAAAGAAGTTTGTTTGGGAAATCGCATGGAAATGGAAGGCGATCCTCAGGGTTATACAAAATGATATATAAGAGGAAAGGAGGGGTAAGACAAGATAATACAAATGGAAGAAATGATTTACAGTAGAAGGGGTAGAGAGAGAAAAGGGGAGGGGAGGGGGATAGTAGAGAATAGGACTGACAGCAGAATACATCAGACACTAGAAAGGCAATATGTCAATCAATGGAAGGGTAACTGATATGATATAGCAATCTGTATACGGGGTAAAGTTGGGAGTTCATAACCCGCTTGAATCAAACTGTGAAATATGATGTATTAAGAACTGTGTAATGTTTTGAACGACCAACAATAAAAAAAAAAAATAAAAAATAAATAAAAAAAAAGAAGTTTGTAAAAAAAATGGGTTAAAAAATTAGTGGAGTTACTTCTGGGTGACAAGACTATGACAACATGGTTTCTTTAGATTAGGCTGCATTTTCCAGACAGTCTACGCTGAGCATGTCTAGCTTTCACATTTCCGGGGCACTGTGGCTACCTTTTTGGGCAGCTTTCAACTATTCATGGGGTTTCGCTTACACATGGCACAATGCAGAGACCCAAGGAGACCCCAGGCCCTTCTGGCAAGCAGCCCCCTGCTCTCTGGTTCTCTGCATGGATTTCCAGTCCCCTGGGTCACCCCAGTCCCATCTGATTCCTTCAACTTGGCAGGAGGCTGTGCTCTGCTGGGGCGCCCCCTGCAGGCCAGCAGTGTAGAAAGTGCTGCCAGCCGAAGCTGAGCAACTGCCGGACCCCTCAAGTTTGCTCTCAGAGATGAGACCCATTGCAGGCTGTGCTGTAATGTCCGAGGAACAGTTGTTTCGTTTATTCTGTCAAGTTTCTATTTTTTTATTGCTGGAGAGCAAGTCTGCTATCAAGTACACTGTCGTGGCCAGAGACAGAAGTCCTGGAGATGACTAGTGAAGACTCAAGCACCACAGAGAGGAGGTAACACAACTATCGACTCTTGGAAACCAGGCAGACTTCTGCAAGGAGGACAAGAGGAGGCAGTGACAGAGGAAATGAAGAATCAAGAAACAACAAGGCACACAGAAAGCAAGGCTGAAATGGCTGAAGTCCTTCCTCACCAGTAATGACTCTCAATGTGAACAGCTGAGACTCGACCCAGAGGCAGAGACTGGCAGAATGGAGAAGTACATAGATAGGATCCAACCACAGGCTGCTAGACACACCACAGGGTTACAGTGCAAAGATGGAAGATGCTCTGCATACCAAAACCAAGAAGAGCAAGGGCGGCCATTCCAATATCAGACCAAACAGACTAAATCAAAGACTGCAAGAGACTAAGGTCACTCTACACTTAGGAAGGGTCCATTTATTAATAAGACATAACAAACATAACCATATTAAGTGCAAAATAACAGTCTCAGAATGTATGAGGCAGTGACAGAAATGAAGGAGAAATAATCCTACAATAGTAGACTGGGTTACCCCACATTCAACAATGGCTAGAAAGTTAGCCACAAAATTAGTAAGGAAAAAGAAGACTTGGACAATATTATAAATCAGTTCTAATGATCATATACTACCCCCTTCCCCAACAAAACAGCAATACTTTTTCTCAGATACATATAGTACATTCTCCAGGATAGATCATATATTTTGCCACAAAACAAGCATTGATGATTCCGGTTCTCAGGAGGCTGAGGCAGGAGCATCACAAGTTGGAGGCCAGATGGATAACTTAACAAGACCCTGTCCTAACATAAAGATAGGGCTGGGTTTTAGCTCAGTGGTAGAGCTTTTTTTTTTTTTTGCCTACTATGTGCTAGGCTCTGGGTTTGATCTACAGTACTGTCAAGAAAACCCAGCAATTCTACAAATAATAAATAAGTTTACACCTTGTGGGGGAAGAAAGGAGAAAGGGAGAGAAGGAGGGAGTGAGGAAGGGAGGGGGAAGGGAGAGAGGAAGAGAGAGACACACACACAGAAGCAAACGCAAGCTGGCATAAGGAAGAAAATAATATGAGATTACAATGCAGGTAAGTAAAAGAATAGAAACAGAAAATCAATGATCTTTTTAAAGATCAACAAAACTGACAAACCTTTAGACTAACAAGAAATAAGTTCAGAAATGAAAAAGTGGGGACATTACTAGCAATTTTACAGAAATAAAAATTATTTCACGTGTACAGATTTTCTGTTTAGGAAACGAAATTCTGGAAGTGGGCAGGGCGATGGAGACATGTGGTGAGATTACACTTAATGCCATTTAACTGTACACTTAAAAAGCAATGAAAACGGTAAGTTTATGTGTATTTTACTGCCATGTAAAAACAGTGTTTGGAGAAACTATGTGGAATAATCAGAATCCCTAAAATGTCACACACCAATACAGCACCAAATATGGCTTTTCAGGAACCATGTCTTTTATAACCAAATTTAAATTTTTCCCCTACAAGCAAGATCTCTAGCATAGCACCTATTTTCTAAATACATTTTTTTTTTAAAGAGAGAGAGAGAGAATTTTAATATTTATTTTTCAGTTTTCGGTGGACACAACATCTTTGTTTGTATGTGGTGACGAGGATCGAACCCGGGCCGCACGCATGCCAGGCGAGCACGCTACCACTTGAGCCACATCCCCACCCTTCTAAATACATTTTCAAAGTTCCAATAAAAAAATCCAATATACTCCTAATTACTTTAAATTTTTTTTGGAGACAGGGTCTCAATTCCTGCACTCCAAGTAATCCTCCAGCCTCAACCTCCTCAGAGCTGGATACAGATGTGAGTCACAATGCCAAACAACTTTACTTGTAAGTAAAGTGAGAAACAGACACACTCACCTTTCATCATAGAGTGTTTTTGTGATCCCTCCTCCTGGAACACGGACACAAAACTCAGAATCATCCATTTGAGGGATGCATGGACTTTTTTCCATTTCTTGCCAGTTAAGGCTCTGTATTTTACTTTGAACATTTTTTTGCACAGAAGGTGTAAGCAGGTACCGGAAGGGAGTACTAGAAACAATCATATATAATCACCTTTTCAAAAATTACAAACATGAATACTAAGGTGAATATTATCAGTTTTTAACCAATATCATCTTGGTCTCCACATGTTCTACTGCATAAGGCAAGTTATGATGATGGAAGGGCAACTCTGCAGAACACATCACCTGGCTTGACGCTTACATACCAAGAGGGAGTGAAAGACAGGAAAACTTCAACCAACGAAAGCCATTGTGAAAAATCAACCCACTTTCTATTGCTATGTTCCCTTCTGCAATGGGGTCTGAAATGTCTGTGGTGAGAATCTTAGAAGTTAGCTCCTTTTGAAAGTTTAACTATGGGCTTATTGATATTTTTCACCCTGATTTTACAGGTGTATAGATAAAATTTATGATCTAATTTAACTAAAAGTCAATATTCAGAATATAAGAGTATTCTATATAATATTAACTATGTGACAATGACAAAATATCATTTATATCCTATTTCTGGGATACTCTGTCATATATTAAAGAATACACTCTGACAGGCTAGGCAACTATACTTAAAGGCAACTGGATTTCTGCATATACAAATGGGTGCATTTTGAAAATAAATAGAAACATCAATGTAATCTATCAAAAGTTAGCAATTATATGAAGACACAAATCGGTGTGACTATACTTTGTATACAACCAGAGATATGAAAAACTGTGCTCTATATGTGTAATAAGAATTGTAATGCATTCTGCTGTCATAATAAATAAATAAATGTGAAAGATTAAAAAAAAAAAGTTAGCAATTAACATAGCCTTGGTGTGGTTTGCCCAGCATGCACAAGGCCCTGGGTTTTTACCAAGAAAATACCAAGAGCATGGTTCCAAAGCTCGCTCTCCACCAAAGTCCTAACTGTGAGGACCTACTAACTACACTCCCCTTACCTCTTATCTTTCTTTTACCTTCCTCTAAAATGCCCATACCAAATACCATAACGAAGTCAAGAACACACCTGCGCAGCTGGAGATCATTGCGCTGGTAGGAATGAGTACTTGAAAGGACGATGACTTTGGCACAGCCACTGCTTTGCACCCAGGAGAGCAGCTTTTCACAGAATGACTTGGATTTATACTTTGTGTACATTGAGAGAATAACAGACAATGTGAAAGTGAGATCTTAGGGTAGAAGAACAGCATCTACATTATCCACTTTATGTGACAACAATAAATAACTTAGACATTAAAATTATTAGTACTGTCAGATCCACTTAATGTTTTTAAATTGAAAATGGAAGATAAACAGCTGTAAACTATTTGATACATTTTTACAATGACAAAATAAACTAACTGTAAGGAATCTATATTTCTAAGGAAAATGTCTCATTTCTCTGCTTAAGAAATCTACTGTTATGTAATAATCATCACATGGTCATCTATGAAGTGTTCTTGCCAGAAAATTTCTGCCTGGAATCTGATTGGGTGGTAGCAATCAGGTGACTGAGAATGCTGAACATCTGACCTCAAGTCCTCTTACAAGCCAACACTAGGAAGAAGAGGAGGAAGGGGGCCAGCTGTACACGGAGGGGCACCAATTTAAAAGATGTAATGGAGAAATGTAACATGTTAACCTTGACTGGATCCAGAACTGGAGGATATTTTGGGGACAAGCGGGGAAACCAGAATGCCCTGGATGACACTTCTGAACAAGGCCTGAAATGTTTATTCTCTGAATGTGGTATCGACAATGTGGTTGTGAGAGAGAATGTCCTTGATCTTGACTATACTTTGTTTTTTTCTAGTGCTAGAGCACCCAGGGCCTCACACACACTAGGCAAGCACCTACCACTAGGCCATAACATAAGCCCTGTCCTTCTTGAACTCTGTGTGCTGAAGCATTTGGGGGACAATACCATGTTGCTAGCCTATGTTTGGATTGCCTGGCAGAAGGACACTGTTTATGCATTGTGTGTTCACATGCATAAAGAGAGATCAAGTGGGTTCGACAACAAGATGTGAAGTTGGTGAATCTGGAATATGGATTATAAATTTTAGCGGAAAAACTCACTTTATGAGAATTCTTAAATTTAAAATACAGGTAAAAATGGTTAACTTTAGAAAGAAGAGAGTAGCATAATACAATAGTTAAGAGAGGCAGGTTCTGAAGTCAGGCTGCCTGGGTGTGGGACATATGTCCTTTCCAGACTCTGCATCTCAGGCAAAGTCCTTAACCTTTCTGGACTTCAGTTTCCTCCTTAGAAAAACAATGAAATGATATTTGTGCCTGCCTCAGCTTGTTTTGAGGATTAAAGGGATAATAAAGTGCTTAGCATAGCATCAGTAAAGAATCAATGCTCAGCAATTTTTGCTATTTTTAAATCATTTCCATTACTAAAAATCCATTTAGAAGTATCTGAATGGCCCACCTTAATTTTTAAACTGACTCTGTTTATGAAGAGAATCAGTGAGCAATTTTCCTTATGGCATTGTTAAGTTAAAAAAAAGGAGTGATTCTAATACTAATAAAGTCACAGCAACACTATTCACGATAGCCTCAAATGGAAAAACCAAATGTAGCATCAACAGTGCAATGGACCACTATGGTTTATTTATATATCAGAACAGCGCATGAAGGTGAGAACCAATTACTGCTACTTGCAACAACATGGATGAACCACACAAGGGGAATGTTGACTGCAGAAAGCCAGACACAGTACAGCGTACAATCTGAGATACCATCTATATAGGACTCATTGTGGCAGCCCTTGGAATGCTGACAATATTCTTTTTTTTTTTTTTTAGTAGCAGGGACTGAATCTCAGGGATACTCAACCACTGAGCCACATCCCAGCTCTATTTTGTTTTTTATTTAGAGACAGGGTCTCATTGAGTTGCTTAGTGCCTTGCTTCTGCTGAGGTTGGCTTTGAACTCTTACAATCCTCCTGCCTCAGCCTCCTGAGCTGCTGGGATTACAGGCATGCGCCACTACATACCCATCGACAATATTCTATTTCTTCATCTGGAGGCTAATTTCAGAGTTTTTACTCTTGAAATTTCATCAAGCTATACATTTATGGTTTGTAAAAATGTATGTTATACTTCATTAAAAAATTAAAACAAGTACTATGCAGTTAACCTTAATAAAATCCTGTATTTCTGACCTCCTGAAAACATATACCTTAAGTCATTTCAAATAACCCACTTAGTAAATATCTATTGATAGTTTCCCTGTGTGAAAAGCTCTGTCCTAGGTACTGGGGATTTCAGAGTGAGCACCATAATGTCAATTCTCTCAGGAAACTCACTTCTTCTTAGTGAGGAAGATAATAAACATGTTATGCCAGGAAGTGATAATTTCTGAAGAACATAAATACAGAAAAAGGAGACAGAAGATGGTAAGGGACAGCTTTTCTGATGAGGCAACATTTAAGCAATAAGGCAGCGAGCCATTTGGCTTTGTAGGGGAAAAGCATTCCAGGCAGAGAATCAGCGGCAGGATTCTGAGCTGGGCATGAAGGACAAGTGTCTGAAGGACAACCAGGCAGCTATGGAGGCTGCAGGTCAGAGCCTGCAAATAAAATATAGTAGCTGTCCCATAGGACTCTTTGAGCGTGGTAATGCTCTTTACACGTGTGCTTACAGACAACTTGAAATGTGGTTACTGACCCAGGAACCGAGTGTTTAACTTTATTTAGTTTAAATCAATGAATTAACATTTAAATAGCAACATGGTAGGGGCGATGAGAGTAGAGCTTAGTGGTACAGCCCCTGCTTAGCACACAGGAGGCTGGGTTCAATCCCCAGCACTGCCAATAAATAAATGAACAAATAAATAGCTACATGTGGCCAGTAGGTAACAGATCAGAAACTTGAAGGCTTGGTAAAGGGTTATGAATTCACTGTGAGGAGGTAGGAAGCCACAGGAGGGTTCTAAAGAGGGCACTGATGTGATTTGACTTGGTTTAAAGGATCATTAATGTTGCTGTTAAAAGACTATGAAAAGGTTCATGGTAGGGAGTGGACAAGAGTGAAAATGGGCTTAAGAGATGAGGAGTGGTTCAGACTGAGTGGTAGCACAGGCGGTGGCATTGGAGGAGTAAGTTGGATTCAGAGCATAATTTTGATACATAGGTACTTTAACAGATACTCAATTTTTTTAATTTTTTAATTGGTTCTAATTAGTTATACATGACATTAGAATGCATTTTGACACATTGCATACAAATGGAGCACAACTTCTTTCTCTGGCTGAACATGGTGCAGAGTCACACAGGTAGTGTAATCATATATGTGTGTATACAGCATAATGATGCCCATCTCATTCCACCGTCCTTCCCATCCTGACACCCCCTCCCTACTTTGAATTCTTAATGATACCGACTTGATATTTTCTCATTACATTTTAATTTAATAAACTTAAGAAGTGAATATAACATACCAACCTTGATAAAAATGGATCTTAACTGAAGAGCCACAAGCTTCTTTGAAGGCAATGAATATACTACAAGGAAAAGAAGAAACTGAAATCATACAATAGTTAAAATGAAGGATTCTGAAAGTTGAAAATTTTTTAAATATATATATTTATAGTTGTTGATGGACCTTTATATTTCATTTATTTATATGCAGTGTAGAGAATCGAACCTAGTGCCTCACACTTGGTAGGCAAGCACTCTACCATTAAGTCACAACCCCAGTCCTAAATGTTGGAATTATTAATGATAAAAAATAAAATTTGAATAATATAATAGCTTTTACATCTAAGTATTTTCAGTAACTAAAATATAGAATATATGTACTATATTAATTGGTTAAAATAAAACATTTTAGAAGTAACTCAAAATGTGTGCCAGTGAGCTTTATTCTATGGAACATATTCATAAGTTAACTCGGGCATGGTGGACACTCCTGTAGTTCTAATTACTGCAGAGGCTGGGCAGGAGGACAGCTTGAACCCTCAAGTTTGGGGCCAGCCTAATTAACAGAGAGAGACATATCTCCTAAATCAGAGAAATATTTCCCTGGAAATTTCTGGTATTATGATAAGAAAGCTACACTTTTTTGTCTGATATTCCTCCCTCTTCTCTCCTGAGAACAGTAATATTCACAAGGATTAACAGAAGAACTAGGTAGGTAAGTTTGTGTTCTTTTGGAGTTTTTAAAAGACCTCGAATAACAAAAAATTTCTGTGAGTCAGCATGTGTGTATTTTTTCTGGGAAAAGGATTCATAGCTCTCACCAGATTCTACAAGAAGCCAGCTCTAGAGAGGCTAAAGGCCCCTGGTCCAACCTTACCTCTGTGAATGAGAAGTTCTTGTATGAACCGAGGGCAGAACAGAGTCACTCAATCCAGAGGAAGAGGCCACTGTGGCAAGGAGTCAGTTTTTGGTACCAGGAATTGAACCAGGGGCACTTAACCACTGAGCCACATCCCTGGTCCGTTTTAATATTTTATTTAGAGACAGGGTCTGAATTAGTTGCTTTTGGCCTCACTAAGTTCTTGAGGCTGGCTTTGAACTCTCAATCCTCCTGCCTAAGCCTCTCAAGTCTCAGGGATTATAGGCGTGTGCCACCACGCCTGTGTAAGGGGTAAGTTTTTGATTACTATAAATGGATTACAAATAACCTAGTTTGGGCATATCCTTTGGTAAGTCAGGTCTCTCCTGTTACAAGTTTCTGGGGGACTGTCATCTGTGATTGGTGTGACTAGGGGTTATACCACACTCAGAAGACTATTAAATACCACTACACTCAGGCCAAAGGGACTAGAACAGGAAGTTTAGGAATTAATGAAATGGGAATAAATTCAGGGAAAAAGGACTAAGGCACAGGCCACTCAGGCCTCTGATCTGTGACATACCCCTTTAATCCTGTGGTAGAGATTTTCTCAGCACAGAAAAAGATAACAGGGAGCCATCTGCATCAGTTGGAGCCTACCATAGCTCAGCTGCAACACTGTTGTTACTCTGTAGTACAGAAGTAGAATGCCTAATCAGAAATGTATATTACCTCATGTGGAACATAAAGAAATAGTATGTAAAAGAAAACTAACAAAAACATATAAGGCTATGTATGCAACCCATACAAAGGGGCTCAGCCTTTGGATGATAATCTGCTGATCCAGTGCTGGCACTGAATACAACTGCTTTCTGCTGACAGCCTTGGTGTCTTGTGTCTCTGTCCAAATATCCTACAGCAGTCCAAATTAACAGATCTGGGTACAAAAAGCATGTATCTATAGGGATGGAGGGTAAGACTTAGAGCACAAGGATATGCCATTTTCAATAACAGCAAGTCTCATACTCTCCATTAATAAATCATGAAATTCTTTTTTGTTATTAGATCCTGTTTCCTATACTCCCCGCCGCCCCTGACATGACATAGTATGAAAACAATACCACTTTTTATGTATTCTGGCCAAAAATATTATCTTGTAGCAAATCAAGACAACAGACCTAATTCCAGGTTCAGAAAATACAGGGGGCTAGAGGAAGAAGCTAAAAGAGAGCACAAGGAAATAAATTGGTTTTGTGAAGAGAAAAGGACTACTCTAGAGTAAAAGTGTTTCAAGGGCACAACAATCAGCACGGATCCTGGTTTGGAGAAATAAACTTTATGTGACATTTTGAGGCAAATCAATACAGATTATGCATAGGAAAATATTTAAAAATTAATTTTTTGAACAGTGCTAATGTTGTTTTAGGTACATGATAGGCCTATGAAGAATTATGGTCTTATGGTATTAAAAACTTACATATCAGGAGCACTGAACAACTCAATCTCTGAGACTTATCTATACTGTATTACCATGAATTCTAAAACATCTGAGGGGATAAATACAAGGTTTAGCTGAAGCAGCACTATTAAGCATTGCATTGAGCCTAGTGGAATTTCTTTTCCTCTATCTATAATACTAGCAATGGTTACATATGCCACTAAGAACAGAAAATAAAACAGGACAAAAGGAAAAAGATCTAAGTTGAAAAAAGTAGAGTTCTGAAAGACTACCCAGACCACAAGCACAACACACTTTCATAATCTTCATCGGAGTTTCCATTACACTGCTTTTCTTTTCTTCTTTTTGAGAAGTCATGTGGGAGGAAGTCTTGTGTGACCCAGGCCTCTTGTCAAGAAGTTTTATCCTGTGATCCAGGCCAGCCACAGGCTCCAGGTGACACACCAGCCTCAGCACTGTGAGTGGCTGGGACCACAGGTGTGGCTTCTGTGCCCAGGTCAGTCCTTTCTGATTTAAAGGAACTCCATCAGGTGGGAGAGATAAGCATGCTGACCAACCAGCGGCAAGCATACTAAGAGAGAGCTCTGGCTGGGGTAGGATTGAAAATGCTAAGCCAGGACCTTCTGTGTTTATACTAAGGAAGAACTCCACACTGCGGTGGAGCTGTTACAGGGTCCACTTTATGCTTTGAAAATTGCCCTTGCTGCTCTACCTCTGTGACTTATTTTTAAAAAGACATGTTTCTCTTCCTCTCTCCCCACTCCTCCCTAATCTCTCCTCTGCCCCAATCTTAGGGAAAACAGTATTACCTTTCTTCCCCATCTTAGGCAGATTTATCAGTCCTTGAGTACCCACCCACGAAAGGAAAGAAGTAATCCAGACTTTGGGTGGTACCAGAAGATCTCAGAAATGACTATCTCCCAAATTAACAAGTGAATCACAACTCAACACAGAAGTCCATGACTTTAGTAGCTTTTGCATCACCTCTTTAAAACCCACTGTTAGCCAGTGGCACAGCCTCTTATCCCAGTGGCTTGGGAGGCAGAGGCAGGAGGATCCCAAGTTCAAAGACAGCCTCAGCAAAAGTGAGGTGCTAAGCAACTCAATGAGACCCTGTCTCTAAATAAAATACAAAGCAGGTCTGAGGATGTGGCTCAGTGGTTGGGTGATCATAAATTCATCCCTGGTACCAAACAACAACAACAACAAAAAACAAACCCCTGTTCTTGCTGATGGGGAGATTCACAGCCTCACAACCTCCGGGACAGGAGTCTCCTGTGTTTCTCCTTTGTTGCAAAGCAATTAAACTCCTTTTTCCTTTTTCTCAAAACTGTGTCCTCATTATTGAATTGGCATTGGGGATAAGAACCGAGCTTTTGGTAACATAACAGAACATGCCAAAGACATACCTTCAGCATTTGTACTGAGCTCTGTTGAATTGTCTTCTTCAGTTGCATATGGATTGTTCCCAACTATTGGCACCAGGCAATCGGTATAGAAGTAGCCAATTTTACGCATGTTCAATGTAGAAATGATTAGATCTATTGCAAGCTGTCCAACATTTCCAACAGATACTGCTGGCTGAAAAAAAGACATTTTCAATAAGTCATCAAAATTAGGAGCACTTCAAACAGTTTAGACAGAAGATAATAATTGACTGTTCGGAATGCATATATGTTTAGGTGCATAGCTAGATACTGACTCTTTCATGTAGTAAAACAAACTAAGTTCCTGCTCTTGTGGAACTTCCATTCCAGTGAGGGAGTAGTTTACCTGTAATAAAAATAAAGAGCAAAATATACAGTGTTAGTTCTACGAAGAAAAATACAGTGAATGAATGGGAGCAGGTTTATATGTAGTTGGATGCAATTTTAAATAGGGTGATCCAGGCTTCACTTCAAGTGATGAGTCACTATCTTCAAGTGGTAAAGGACAGTCATAGAGAAACCTGGGAAAACAATACTCAAGGAAGCTGGAAAGCAAGTATAAAGTCTGTAAACAATCTATAAAAGAAATCTCTTGGGCTTCTTTCCATTTGCTTTGTTGGTCTCCTTTCTATCCACTTCCTGAGGTTGGCATGATCTTTTCACATTAAACACACACACTCTCCCGTGACTTCAAACGGCCAACCTACACCACATGACAAGTTTTTGGGCTCCAGAGTCTACTGGACATATCTACATGGTTATATCACAGGCAATTCCCATTCCACTTGTATTAAACCAACTTCTGCTCAAACTTGTTCTCATATTTGTATTTTACAAAAGAACATCTTCTCTTGACTACCTTATCTAGGAAATGTCTTCCTTTCCCCTCATCAACCTAATATATGACAATTTTTATTGATTTATCTTCAAAACACCTCTTTAATGAGCTCCTCCTTTGCATTCTTCCAGCAATTGCCTTTTTTTTTTTTTTGACCTTCAATGTTCTTACTTAAGTTTTCTCCTACTTCTCATAGCTGTTGTCTACCAAACTCCTGGTTATCTACTACATATAATTCCCTTCTCAAAGATTCTGCTACTTTGGTTGGACTCATCTGTATTACCCTTCTTTTCCTCACTACTGGACTGTTCCCATGAGCATGTACACATGTTGTAAATCTTCCATTCTAAAAAGTCTTCCCTTATTCCATATACTCCTCTCCCTCCCACCTCACTTCTGTTGCCTTTCATAGTCCAAATTCTCCAAGAGTTGTCTACTACACATAAGTGGGAACTTTATCTTTGAATGAATTCATACATATGTTGCTGAAAGCTTGTTCTTTGTCCCAGATGTCAATTCAATAACAAAGACCTGGTTTTGAGAAAAGGGAAAAAGAAGGTATATTGCTTTGATAGCTTAGGAAGAGAGATCAGGAAGGAGAAGATCAGGGAAAAAGTTAGGGAAAAGAAGATGAGGAGAAGGTCAGGAAGGAGAAGGTTAGGGAAAAGATCAGGGAGGAGGGTCAAGAAGAAGGTTGGAAAAAAGAACAAAACACATAAATTTCAAAGCCCCAAGGGATCTAGTCAAAGCATCAAGTGAGCCCATTACACATATACCTACAATCTCTACCTCCTCTTCTCCCTACTGAACTCACCCCAGGACAGCTTCCCTCTTCGCCACCCCATCCATAACTGTTTTCCCAGGTGACCCCTCTAACTTACATGTTGGTACCAAATCCTTAACATATTTGATATTTTATGAATAAAAGAAAGCTATTGTCACTTCAAGCATTACACCACTCCAAAAAGGGCATTTTTCAGTGCTACATTCTGGGTTCACACGGACCCCAGCTTATTCTCTCTGAATGTTTCATCCAAACTCTTTGCAGTCCCCAATGCTTATGCACCTCTGCTTTTAGCATCCATCTTTCAGAAATGCACCCTCTCCCATCTTTTGGACACGAATTTCTCTACATGGCTATTTAAAAAAATTTTTTTTAGTTGTCAATGTATCTTTATTATATTTATTTATATATGGTGCTGACAATCGAACCCAGTGTGTCACTCAAGCTAGGCAAGAGCTCTACCACTGAGCCTCAGCCCCAGCCCCTCCACACAGCTTGACTTTTAGATTGAACTCATCCACTGAGCCCATCCGCAGCTCCTTTTAGCGTCTCCCTGTTGCTGAGGCTGGCTCTGAACTCGAGATCCTTCTGCCTCTGCCTCCCCAGCCGCTGAGCGTGCGCTACACAGATTTTCTTAACAAGCTCCTGTGTCCCTCTCCCTGTCAATCACCTAAGGCCTTTCTCTCTCGTTGTCAAGCTCTGATCCCAGTATTAACTGGTGAGGATTTCCAGCTAGCTAGTAAGCTCTTTGAGGACAGCATCTAACATCAGCAGCACCAAGTAGAACGTTCACCGAAACAAATCGGAATACGGCAGCTCTAGGAGGAACAGAACTTGGCATTGGCGCCTGACAGCTCTCTTGTTACCTAACAGTGGTTCTAACGATGAGGTGCTGGCCGAGGAGCGACCTAAAGCACGTGTTTTGAGGACACACTGCAGGGATGCGCGGCCCGCCGTGCGCGGTCCCCGACTGTCGCTCCCAGGCCTGTTACGTTTCGCGGACAACAAAGACGGCCCGCGAACGTCGGTTCCCAGCGCGGACAAAGGTTGGCTCCCGACCGCCGCCCCGCGCGACCGACGCCCTCCGCGACCACCTCCCCAATATTATTTCGGTCTCAACCACTGAAATAAAGACGCGCGCCTTCGCCCTGCCGCGGCCCCGCG